ACACACACACACACACACACACACACCACACACACACACACACACACACACACACACACACACACACACACACACACACACACACACACACACACACACACACACACACACACACACACACACACACACACACACACACACACACACACACACACAAGAGCCCCAACTTAGGAGGTACTTACGAGGACCTTCCACTTCACGACCACCTCGATAAGTGTCTTTGATGATAACTTATACACCTTTACCTGAGAGGCAACTAGAGACTCTCAGAGGTACTTAGTGGTCATAGACTGATCCTTCCAAATGACATGGGAGGCCTTTAATCCCTCGTAGTGTGGCTCTAGTGGGGCCCACTCTACTAGGTCAAGATGTCTGTCATCTTCAGTGCCGTGAATGACACTAGTCAGTGTCGATAGAGGTCTTAGAGCTAGTTCTTCTGAGACATCTTCGGGGTTGGCTCCTTCGGACTCAGAGGTAGGTTCCCTGAAGCCTCATAAAACCTTCTATTTTGGATGACCCCTCACTTTCGAGTGATCGAGGTTGTGGGGTGGTGTCTCAACCTCTAGCTAAGGCTACGACTTCAGCTCAACCGCCTTAAGAGGCTAGTCCTTAGATGAGAAGGTCAACCCAATCTTTTATTTAGATCCCTAAGATTCATTCCTATAAAGAGACAACTTAGTTAGAAGCACATCTAATAAGCCATGAAAAGATACCTTGGGAGATGATGCATACCTTGAGGAGCTAGACTCATATTAATGTCGATTAGCCAATCTTCATTCATGGACTTAATAGCCAAAGAGAAAATGATCTTTCCTAGTCGGAACACTAACTTCTCTTTTCGTTAGTTAAAATTCGAGTTGTGTTAATGAAAGTGTGTAGATAAGTATAGACTGATGTCGATAAAGAAGTATCATCCCTTCTAACCCTTATTGGAAGTTGGGGCCACCCTCATTGTGAATTCTTCTCGAGTCACAAGATAGTAGTTGTTGGCCCTCTTGCAAGCCTAGAAGCAATAATGAAATAGATTAAGGTTGAGTCTATGTTGGTATAGTAGCATTTCTCGAGGAAAGTGACTAGATAACATCATGAGTTAGGCACCATATGAGAAAGAAAGATCATCCACCAATAAAGGCACTCCAAGATGAATGGATGAAGGGAGAACTTAAGCATATGTACTTGCACATCAAGTCAAACGAATACTACTCGACCCGAGGTACCTTCACTTGATCCTCAGATGAGATTGAGAACCAGAGGCATAAGTACTCTAGGAACTTAGGTTTACAACCAAATCTTGGTCATAGAAACCCTTTATAATTTGAAGGTTTATAATGACCTTGAGATCAATTAGGACCATAGATGAACCGATATCTTCTAGACCTAGTTAGGGAGAGCTGACAGGTGCTTTGGAGGTCCAAAAAGAAAAATGAAAGGCTGAAAGAGAAAAGAATCAATGAAGGTGGAGCTAAGGATGCAAAGTGAGCCCTGAGGGGGTGCATCTTATACCCTCGAGGTGCCACTTCACTTTCTAAGGTGTTAGTTTAACTCACGAGGTCCCCACTTAGTGCAATACTTAGTGGTCTTTCTCGTCAACGAAGGTATGACTAGATGAAAGGGTGACCTCCCTTTGAAAGTGCACCCAAGACGTATCTCTCAGACTAAGAATGAAAAATGCACTCGAGACATCTTCCTCAAGTTAAGCATGGAAAATATACCTAAGTCGTTTTTTTCGGGCTAAGTAAAGAAACACACCTGAAACACCAATCTCGAGTTAAATGGTATGCTATACCCGAGGCACCCTTTAAAGGTGGTGAACTTGAAGCTCAACACATTGAAACTATCAAATGCTCAAAATCATGTTTGCTATTTATTAGGCACATCTTGACGCTTGAAAGAAGATCCAAAGGCACACCTTTAGGGGGAAAATAGAAAATGCACTCAAAGGCCTCTCTCGAGTCAAATATGAAAAATATGCTCAAGACTCATTTCTCGAGCTAAGCAAAACAATGCACCTAAAACACCCATCTCGGGTTAGTTGGGATGCTACACTTGAGGCACCCTTTAAAGGTGGAGAATCTGAAACTCGACATGCCAAAACTACTAAACATTTGGAATCTTATTCATCACACATCGAACAAATATTGGGCACACCTCGATGCCTAAATGAAGACTCCAATGTATACTAATAGTAAGGGGGAGGGGAGAGAAATTATAGGGGGAGAATTCACCATCGATAGCCTACCAACATAACATAGTGGGTGATACCCAAATGATATGATAGTCATCCAAACTCAACAACAATAATGAACCCAAAAGAAAATATTCCAGAAATATTTCCTTTAACTCAATCTGAAGTCTATTAATCTGAAGTCTATTAATTTATTATTATCTAGATTAATTATTATTTATTTGTGATCCTCATTTTTTTTTTTTTTTGTACTAACTTGAATATCATAGGAACTAAGCATCCCATTTGATCTCGATCTTCTTATGAATCAATTCTTATAGTTTTTTTGAACTTAAAGATCGAGTGGAATTGAGAAAATTTATCCTATCACATATAATTTACAAACAAGTTTCCTAATTGAGAAAAAAATAGCCCGACTTAGAGGGTAAGGGTATTATCGTAACAAGATCAAAACAAGTTCGCGGCTCGACTCGTGCGGTAAGTTGTGGTTTACGTCACTCCCGTGGCAGCGATTTTGTTAACCAGTTGACTAAAATCTTACCTGCCATAAACTTTGTTCGTACGAAGAATAGGACGAATGTGAACCCTAAGGGTATTGTCGTAATTTCAGGAAAGAGATCCGGCCTCCCACCTTTCTCTCTCTCTCTCCTATTATTTCTTTCTTTTTCCTCTCTCTCTCTCTCTTTGTCTCTCAATCGCTCCCTTTCTCTGTCTTGAGATTTTGGAGTCAGTACGCTTCTCTCCCTCCTCCCTTCGCTCACTCTTCGGCAATTGTGTGGCATTTCAACTCCACATCTCGCGTGCTTTTGATCCGCCCGCGGACTCGTCCATCGAACTCTCGGACGCTCGCTTTGTGGAGGTACGGGGACCTCTCTCTCTCTCTCTCTCTCTCTCTCTCTCTCTCTCTCTCAGACACACACACACACTCGCTCTCTCTCTCCTTTGTTTGGTCTCCCTTGAATCGAATATCAAGGCATTGGCATCTCGGGTCGGGGTTCGTTACTCGTTAAGTTGTGATCGGAAGGGGGAGTGCGGGTTCTGATTCCTCCCTCTAGTTTGGATCTAAGTGAATGGAGACTTTTGATCTTATTTTGGTGGGTAAATCCGAGTTTGGTTCCATCGGAGGTGGAGATCCAGGAATCGAACTGGTTGTTTTGATTCGTCACGTGTTGTTGTGGGATCTGCATTACGTTGTAGGGCGAAATTCTGATGAAAAAGGTCGATGTACATAGTTTCTGGAAATGGTGAAAAGGTCGGATCTTATTTGTATTCTGGCTGACATTAATGAAATTTATAGTGGTTGATCTGTTGATCGGAGATCTGCTTTTGATTTTGGAGACTTGGACAACGTAGATGCTAGTTTTTCGTACATCTTTTAACTCTTATTGGGACTGTATGATGTATTCTATACGGGTTATGGGTTCTAATGGAATGAAATGGAGATATGGATGGAGCAAGAATCTGAAACTGTTCAAGACCTAAAAGGTGGAGTCAAATTTCAAATGTTACTCTTTGCACTTCTTTTAGCACCCATTCATCTTCACTCTGGTCCAAATGTTAGTGGACACCGAGCTTATATTTTCTCAATGTTCTCATGACTGGCCGCCACAGTCCCACTTCAACATAGGCGCATAATGCTTGTCGAGCTTCTGGCCAAGCTGCCGGAACTATGTACTTCAATCCCATATTCTGTCTGAAACTGCTCCTAATAATTAATAATCAGTTGGTCGAGCAAGGTATCAAATGATACTAGTAATCATTTCATGTAATGTGACAAGAATCACATAGGGAATCAACTCAAAATGTGGTTGTTGGGCCATAGATTCTTTTGGGGAGTATCTCTATCTCATGCACCTTTCAATTGTTCTCCTTTATGAAAAATACACTACACATGTCATAATTGACATGCGTTAATTTGATTTTAGACCACATCCTAAAATTGGAATATATGTTGATCTTTTGGAAAGAATTTAATTTCATTGCTTAAGTAGGTATCACTTAATCATCCTCAGCTATCAGTTTCCTAATTCGTATTTCATGGCAAATCATGCTTCCTAGTCAAAGGCACCCTGTATAATTTACAAAATTTGGATCTTCTTTTCAAGTTCTAGTCACAAAATAATTTCCATATTAATCAATTCCACTTCCATGGGCCCAGAGTTTTGTTTGTTAGTTTGTTGTTTTTAACTTTTTATAATGAAGATCGTAGGTTTTTTCAACCATCTCTTCTCTAGTTAAATTTCTCTTTCTGTAATCCTTTGTTTCTTCTCTCACATATTGATCGATTAAGTTTGATCATGACCCTGGCTTTGTTTACTCTGTCATTGCTACATATCTTGATTAGTAGTCCTCTTTCTGATGTGTTTCAGTGAAACAGAAATTAGAATCTTTGAAAAGCTTGGCTTTCAATGTTGACATGATTACTGCACTGTTTCTGTTTTGTTGAGTTTGCAGTAAAAGATAATTTAAAAACAGTAAATTTGTCTGTTTCGTAATGAGCTACTTGATGCTCTTTTCATCCAGTCATCAGTGGACTCCTATGATTTTTCTGGCACCAAAATTAGAGCAGACTTCAGGTTCTAATGATTGATCCTTAGTAAAAGTAATTGGTTGAAATTATTATTATAAAGTATAGGAAGAAAAGGACAAGAGCCAATATTCTAGCGACTAAATGTGTAAGACATTCTCCAAATGTCGTTATAGGTTAACAATGTTTTTTTCAAAAATTTGCAACCTTCTGCTATCATTGCCATAATTAGTATGAACATTTTTTACATTGATACTGGTCATTATTGGAGATCTTGATTAGTTTATTTAGATATCTTGATCCTTTTTTCTTCTGTACAATTTTTTTACTAGGCAATGGATGAAGAAATTGTGCCTAGATATACATTCTTGATACCCGACATTGGTTTTCGGTGCTCTAACAGAGTGCTTTTCCTGTGGATTTGTGCTACTTGCAACTTTAGCCTCATCATGACCAAAATCTTATATTGCAGTGCTGATTCCTGTGGGCTACAATAAATATCCGCCATCTGCACTCCAAAGAGCCATTTGAAGCCTGATGGGTTCCAGATTCCCATCGCACCAGCTCAGCAATGGCCTCTATGTTTCAGGTCGACCTGAACAACACAAGGAGAAACCTCCAACAATTTTCTCTACAGCCATGCCATATACAGGAGGAGATATTAAAAAATCTGGAGAACTTGGGAAGATGTTTGATCTTCATGTAGAGAAATCCAGAAAATCTGGGCCACTTACTAATCCCCCTTCAAGAAATCGATCATTGGGGGCTGCTGCTACCCACTCAGGGCCTATCATGCCTAATGCCTCTGGTCAGCCTAACTATTCCGGTTCTTCTTCTTATGCAGCTCCGAGTTCTGGTTCTTTGCTAGTCACTGGTGGTTCTGGTAGACAGAAATCCAGTTCTGGGCCACTTAAACACGGGGATTCAGTTAAAAGGGCATCTGGGCCTCAATCTGGAGGTGTTACCCAAGTGGGACGCCAAAATTCTGGCCCTCTTCCACCGGTGCTGCCCACTACAGGTCTCATCACTTCTGGCCCGATTTCTTCTGGGCCACTTAATTCATCCGGTGTCACCCGGAAATTATCAGGTTCTCTGGAATCCACTAAATCAGTGAAGTCACATAGTGCATCTGTCATTCAGAACCAAGCTGTCACTAATCTCACTCAGGAAGATGATTATTTGTTCAAGGGAAGCTTGCCTAAGCCCATCATTTGGTCCGTGGTTTTGTTATTTGTGATGGGTTTTATTGCAGGTGGCTTCATTCTTGGTGCTGTTCACAATGTCATTCTTCTTATGGTTGTTGTAATTATTTTTGGAGGAGTTGTCATGCTTTCCTTTTGGAATACTTGTTTTGGAAGAAGGGCAATCATAGGATTCATTGCTAGATATCCTGATGTGGATTTGAGAACTGCAAAAGATGGGCAGTATGTCAAGGTCTCTGGGGTATGCAACTCGAAGAATGCTTTTTTAAACAAGTTTGTTTGGAATCATGAAAGTTAGTATTCGATATTTGACTTTCTTATTTAGGTTTGCATATAAAAAAGAAGTATCAATTGCTTTTAGTTGTTTGTGAGCAGTGTTCTTACGAACGATCCCAGCATGTGTGGATTCTTTTGTTGATGGCTTATCATGTGGAGAAATGTTGATGCATAAGCCTTTTTTAAGCTCAAACTATCATGTTTGCTCCAGCTTGATATATTTCCCAGGACTTGTTTACTCTCTTTGTTTCTCCCCTAATGCTTATAAAAATATGTGCAACTTGATATATTTAACAAAAGCTTCTTGCAGGTTGTTACATGTGGAAATTTTCCCCTTCAGTCATCATACCATATGGTTCCTAGATGTGTGTACACATCTACTGGCCTCTATGAATACAGGGGCTGGAACTCAAAGACTGCCAATTCCCAGCATCGGCGTTTTACTTGGGGACTAAGATCAAAGGAGGTATGCCGCTTTGTTGAATAATTGAATTTATAAGAGAAACTACATCTGAAATAAAGGAACATGTAGAATTTATGCCCCATAATTTGGAAATTTTTAGATTAAGCAACAATTTGCTCCAGCTTCATAATTTTATCTGATCTGTGAGTCATCTTATGTGAAACTTTGGCAGAGGCATGTGGTTGACTTTTATATATCTGATTTCCAATCTGGTTTAAGAGCTCTGGTCAAAGCAGGCTATGGTTCTAGGGTGGCTCCGTATGTTGATGAGTCTGTCGTCATTGACATGAACCCAAACAACAAGGATTCGTCTCCTGAATTTCTCAGGTGGTTGCAGGAGAGGAACCTTTCTAGTGATGACCGTGTGATGCGCCTGAAAGAAGGGTAATCTGAAACTTCAATTGTTAGACAGTTATCATTTTGGTTCCTTGTATGTGTTTCCAGTAGTAGGAATAAAGAGCTAGGATTGTCTTTGTTGGTTACTGGCTTCTCATCAGGATCCCTATGCATAAAACCTTGTTTTTAGCCTACCATAGGCAATCTGACGAGAGAAAAAGATGTCATAATATATTTTCCCACACCGTACATCTTTTAACAATTTGATTATTGTATCCATGCAGTTATGTCAAAGAGGGCAGCACTGTAAGTGTAATGGGAGTTGTCCGAAAGAATGACAACGTTCTGATGATAGTCCCTCCTCCTGAGCCCTTCTCCACAGGGTGCCAGTGGGCGAAGTGCGTAATTCCAGCGAGCCTCGATGGAATTATATTAAGATGTGAGGACACATCAGATGTTGATGTCATACCAGTGTAATCGATACAATTGGTGTCAATATATTTGCTCTTATTTGTGCCGTCTCTGGAATTTGTTTTATTTCATTTTCGGCAGTGCGGTGTTTTGAAAAGGCCACCTATCAGTTTGAAGAGGTGGCTTCATATCTCGAGTCTGTATAGCTTTGTCTCCCCCTTTTTAAATGAGATGGATATTTTTTGTGAGATAGATATCTATGTTGTTGTCTGAATGGCTTCATATCTCGAGTCTGTATAGCTATAAATGTCATGCATTCTTCGGCTCTGCACTACTAAATAACATTTTTGGTTCTCCTTCTGCTCTTCCTTCTTCCTTCTCCCTTTCTCCTCCGGAACGCGTGTTTCTTCATTGCGAGGTTTGTTTTTTTCTGCTTTTAGGACTGAACCATTCTGGTTTTGATTAAAAGGGATCGAACCGTTCCTTTTAGAGTTCCTGACGAGTTGCAAGTTCTAAATGCATTCTTCTGCATTTTTGTTTCTCCTCCTATTCTTACTACACCGTAAGAATCTATTCATTCTTGACCCTGAAAATGATACTAGTAAGTCTATAATATTTATATATGTCTATATGTTTCAGTAGAAAACTTTCACATAGTCACGTGGGGTGTCAGTTAGCACATCCAGAAGCTACCCGGATGACACATGATTGGATGGATCTTTGAAATAGTGTCTAAGAATGATTTACTATCTTGTTTCATAACAATATCAGGTGGGCACTTGTGGGGGCTTTTGACCACGACGGATCACCTTGAACCCTTTTTTGTATAATCGTTCCAAGCTTATACGTCTATATTTGTAATTTGTATTATCTATCAAGTGTTTGTCAAAATGTCTACCTGTGGAATACTAAGTTAAATACTTCCTCTAACCTATCTTCTCTTTGCAGGTCCTTAATTGACTATAAAAGGTTTCGAGGAGACTGACCCTTTGCAAACTGACATGCAAGGGTTTCACATGACTTTGGCAAAACCAGCTAAGTCCATGACAATTGGTATCAAAGTGAGACAATCACACTTAGAAACACTTGCATGCAAATGTGGGAAACTTAACAGAGATGTATTGAGGACAGCCAACATGCATGACCGATTAAGAGAAACAAGCGTAGGGACGTAGAGAAAGGGGTCGCTCAAAGGAGCGAGCATCCAAGATTGACATTCAGAGGAATGAACAACATTTCACACGAGGGGCATCGTAACAACAAATGAGCTAGGAAGAATGTGTAGCGCACAAAGTTGAAATGACTAAGTTTGAGCTATAGCTCGACGTTGGCAATTAAACTTGATGGTGCTCAAAGCAAACAAGACACTTGGTAAATAATAAGACTATGTAAGGAGGGATGAGTTGCTCAACAACTAAAATAGTTGTGTAAAGCTTAAAGAGATGAGAGGAATTGCTAACTTGAAGAATTTATTATTCATGCAAGGGCTTGTATACAGATGACAGATTGTCTATGGCCATCCTAAGGTAATCGAAACTCGACGACATGGAGCATAGAAACTTTCTCTTTGGATGGAACCGATATATTCATAGGAGGTTGAAGTGTGTAATAAATTCAGCATATTGCTAGGCTTTAAAGGGTGCAATGAGGGCTATATTAGCGAAGAGTTGTAATCTAACAAGTGCATTTGTGATGGCAGAATAGTGTACATGATTCCCTCTGAAACTTCTAAAGGGAAGGATATGGAGAGAAAAGTTGCTCTAATATGATAGATATTTAGGATGGATAAGTCTTAATTTCCAAAAGGGAGAATCATGTACATGGGATCACATATGTTAAGGGGGTACTTCAAGACAATAGCTCCATAAAACTCAATGGATCAAGCAAGCGACGAAGAGTTATCGTATTATCTCATATGAGGTATTACATTAGTAGACACATTACGAGATCAAGTGAGGGCGACCCTATACAATACCAAATGAGGGCACACTTACAGTTGATATAGAGATCAGACTCAATGGATGGTTGACCTATGGAATAATAGATAAGATCATCAACTCAATGCAAATCGAGGAACATAGCAACTTGGGTGAAACTTAGTGAAATGTCAAATTCACATGAAGGGAGTCGACATAGAAGATTGAACATAAAGTAAAGGCACCAAACTTTCCTTATAAGCAAGGACATGAACTCTTACGGAAGCAAGAGCAAGTTCATATCATTCCATAGGTCCCCTATTCTATTGGAGTGAACTAATCTTATATAGTGTTAAAATCGAAGGGAGTTTTGAAACATATGCACCTTATCTCGATGAAGTGATTGACGGAGAGACTAAGGAAATCAAAACTATCAGAGACTTACTCCAAGTCAAAGTAGAATTTTACTCTTTTTGGGGCAAAACTTCTTGCATTCCAAAAGTTTGATGGCAACGAGAAGATAAATTACAGTAGCTAACTTATTGCAATGAGTGTAAACACCTCGGCTGCTTTAGTATTGTGAGGAAAAAGTACGCAAAAGCTAGTAAGCAAAGTAAAATAATTTTTGTCCTCTCAACTCTTAAGAAAATGGGTGAAACCGGATACTAAGTTCTCTTATTTATCTAAAAGAAAAGCTTTGCACATGTTCAAAGACCTTTCAAAGAAACTTAGTAGAAGTTAACATTTATCAAATCCTCACCAATGGTGATTGATTTCACCGAGAGTTGATTGTCTACTTCATTTTTCAATAGAATGTCAATTGAAAATGAAAGTGGTGTGAAATTAAGCAACAATTAAATAAAAGAGGAATCAATGAGCAAATTTTATGGAGGAAAGATATCAAAAACTTCAAAATTTGCAAGGTGATGCTCGTTAAAGCTCTAATAGGTATCCACCCAGTTCAAGCTATGCGAGATGTTTGAGAGACTAGTGCACAACAAAGAATGTATTTTCCTTCATCTAAGAGATCCGTATAAACCAATAAAAGTCAGCACAACTCGATCAACCCTATATCAAAATTAGAGTAATTGACAAGTTGAAACAGTATCGGCGGATCAAAGTTCGGCTGCTTAACAATAGTGCTAATGAGCAACTGAGAACTAAGAGACACATTGCAACTGAAGTAGAAGATTAAAGATTCTATAAAGGCAAAGAGATGCAACATCTATAAATGCTTCGAGAGAGAGAGAGACTTGATTATATAGAGATATAATCAGAGCGACTAAAGAGTTGGACTACTCCAGAATCTATTATTTTCTTGAGAGATCTTGGTAAGTCAAAGGATAAGGCTGAATGAGTAAACATTACTACTAATAACATAAAGGAGAATAGTATTGGCCGAGCCCTACAACATAATAGTGGTGGCCATGCATGGAAGTTGTAATATATCTTTCCATTGACCAAGAAGAATTACTCAGACAACATAGAGGTGTTAAGGTAGGTGCCTGTTAGGAAAATCTTTGGGGGCGACATCATATGCGCAACGGAAGAACAAGAAAACAAAATCCTCGATTCTCAAAGAGATGTTCGTCGTCGTGTGAAGATTGATGTGCAAAATCCGCGAAACTGAAAAACTGCGTATAGAATATATTGTGTTACATAGGGAAATCGTATATCCATGTTTCCTTGCAGATCCTTAGGAGAGGGTGAAGGAGATCAAGCGTCCTCCTCTCTAGCGGTGATCCACACAGTAGGGCTGCGACGATGCTCCTTAAAAACTCTAGCACTGCTTTGAGGTGAAGAGGGGAAGGAGAATAGGAGAGGCAAGCAAATGCTCTAGCCTATGAGGCTCTGAATCCCTCCTATTTATAGAGGTCCCTTGTCAAACCCTAATGGATCCTCGCCTAGTGGGTATTGGATCTGCATCAAATAACCCAAGCCTTTTAGATTAGTGGATCTCTATCCAATAATCTCTCATGGGCTCTAATTGGATCTCGTCCATGAGATTCAATAATTCAGGGGCTTATTAGATATCCAATAAGACAAGGGCTCCATCGGATATCTTATATCCGAACCTCTACTCATCGCAATGCCTACCATATGTGTGTGACCCTGTAGGCTCAATATCGAGTTGGCCGTGAGTCATATCTGTAAGAACTCCTTCTAACTCAATGAATTATTATCTCTGTAATAATTTACTTGACTCATCGACTACGGACGTACTATGCCACTACGCCGTAGTCCCTAGACGATTCAAGGGAATCCAATCCATTGGACCTGTTTGTCCTCAGTTACCATGTACCTATAGTCC